GACGCCCAGGACGCCGTGCAGACCTCCAGAGCGGCGTCCAGCCTCCTAGGACGCCGATCAGACGCCTAGGTCGGCGTCCGGGCCCCCAAGACGCCCAGGTCGGCGTCTGGGCCCCCAGGACGCCGTGCAGATGCCCAGGGCGGTGTCCCAGGCTCCTAGGACGCCGTGTAGACGCCTAGGTCAGCGTGTGGCCTTCCAGGTCGCCGTACAAGCACCCACAACGCCGTACAGGCGCCCGGGTAGTCGTGCCGACGCCCAGGTCGGCGTCCAGCTTCCCAGGACGCCGTCCAAGCGTCCAGGACGCCAACTAGGCGTCTAGGACGGTGCCCTCCTTCTCGGCGCCCTCCAGCCAGGCGCCCTCCAGCTCGGCGCCCTTGAAGTGGCCCCCGTGCCCACTGCTGCAGGTCGGCTGCAACTCCCGCACATCCGACCACGAGGTCGGCTCCGCCCAAGCGAGGGCCAACCAACACTCCCGTACAGGGATGAAGATTGGAGTCCTGAGCGGGCTTGTAAGGGGGATGCTCGGGGCGGAGTCCATTTGGGTGACATCAGCTGCCTCTGCATCTTCCGCCAGGTCAGCTTCGTCGTGTGACGTGGCGAAGCTGTGATGTCTTTCGAAGTCCCTCTCTGGTAACTTGTCAGCTTCCTGGTGCTCCTTGAAAGGGGGTAGAGTCAGCTTCTCGTAGAAGATGCAGTCACATGATTTCGTCACTTCGTGTGTCGCGTAGTCCAGCACGATCCACGCCTTGTATTCCTTTTCGATCCCGAGGTGAATCCCCCATTGTGCCCGTTTAGCAAATTTTCCGGTCCTTGCGGTGTGGGGTCTGTACTGTACCATGCAGCCGAACACCCGAAGCAGACGCGTGCCTGCTTTTCTGCCCGTCCATGCCCGGTAGGGTGAGTTGTTTTTCTCGAGGCTTTGCGAGGACAGCAAGTTGTGCAGCCGAACAGCGTGGTTCATCGCAAACGGCCAATATCTAGTTGGGATGGCCGACTGCTTCACCAGGGCCCTCATCCGTGTGACGAGACTCATGTAGCGTTCGTAGCCCGGAGGTAAGTCAGGAAAGGGCTTGTGAGTGAGCGAGCTGTTGGGCAGACGGTGCACGGCGGATCAGCTGAGTCCCTGGTGAGGGAACCGTCTCGAGGCAGGAGTAGTGCGCCGTCCTCGAAGACTCCGGCCTTGAGCGAGTTTTTGAGTGTAGCATGTGAGGGTTGCCCGAGTCGCTAATGCCAGGTTTCAGGATCCGCTCAATAGCCGACAGTCTTCTGATAATATTTGTGTCGTGTTGATGCATCGTCCTGCTTCTTTCTAGGTCCGGTGTCCGCGACGGCGTCAGCGTCAGCTGCAAAGGCTTGGATGGAGTCGCGCTCCAGAAGGGCACGCGGAATTCCGGTGATGTCATCTGTGTCGGCGGCGTGGACTTGTTCGCCGGTGACGAGCAGATGAGTTGACGGTGGCAACTTCGGTATTGGCCAGTCGTCGAGAGGAAGTCCTGTTGTTGGAATCCGGTAGTAGCTGTATTCGGCACCTATGACTTCGATCTCGTGCGGCCCGTGTTCTGGCCACAATGGCTCCTCGGTAGGTTCAGGTAGTTCCGCTGCTACTCCAAAGAACTCGCAAGTCGCCTCTTCTTCTAATTCCTCCGCTGTGGGTTTTGGTGTGTCAGGAGCGTATTGGTTGGGAAGGGGAGGACCTCCCCAGCTGGTACCACGAGTTGCCCAATATGGGTCTGTGAGGGTGTAGCTGCAGCAGTGGGAACGAAAGGAGGAGGAGGGGAAGGGGAGACCACACACCCGCCACCCCAATGCCACTCCCCTGGCTCCCCCACACCCTCACACCCTCCCCCCCTGCGGCAGCTGCAGCAGTGGGAACGAAAGGAGGAGGGGGAGGGGGGGGGGGGGGGGGGAGGGGGGGGGCCGACGCGCGGCCTCCCAGGGCGCCAAAGCAGGCGGCAGAAGGGGCGACGCTCGCCCCCCCCCCCCCCCCCCCAGGTCCCCCCGAAAAAGAGGGGGGGGCGGTGCACGTGCCCCCGGTGCGCCGCGACAGGCGACGGAGCATGGCTGGGGCGGGGCCGGGGCAGGGTCGAGGCAGGGTCAGGGCATAGCAGGGGGAGGGCCGCGATAGGGCCGCGACAGGGTCAGGGCAGGGCCGGGGTCGGGGCAGGTCCGGGACGGGGCCGCGACAGGGTCGGGGCAGGGCCGCGCCGAGGGGCCGATAGGGGCGGCGACGGGGCCGCGAAGGGGCCGCGAGGGGCCTGGAAGGGCGGCGACGGGCCGGTAAAGGCGGCGACGGGGCCGCGAAGGGGGCCGCGAGGGGCCTGAAAGGTCGGCGACGGGGCCGATAGGGGCGGCGACGGGGCCGCGAAGGGGCCACGAAGGGCCTGGAAGGGCGGCAACGGGGCTGCGAAGGGGGCCGCGAGGGGCCACTAAGGGTCTCGCGAGGGGCACGCCACGGGGCGTGCAGTACACAGAGTAGCAGCGGAAGCAACAGGCCAGGAGCGTAGTTTTCTCTGATAGCATATCAAAAATAGTAGTTGAGGGGCCTAGGGTTTGACCTAGGCAAGAGTGACGAGAGAGTAGAATGTCAAGAAAATTGAAAAGGAGAATGAGAATGATTCTATAATAGAAGGCATACAAGATATAGTCAAGGAAATAGGCAAATGGTGCACCACCGAGCAGGAAACTCTATAACTACACTAAACTCTAATGTAGGCATTTATAAATGTATATGAATACATTTCCACAGGGTCGATCGCTGCCACTTTCACGGTAGGGAGTCCCGAAGCTTCACCGCGGTTTGGTGGCCCCAATCCTTCTCCGGCTGATGTTCCCCACCAGCCACCATAGCTTCTTCCGGTGCCGTGGCGGTACCCCATCCGGCCGCAACTGCTTTTTCTACTTCTGCAGTTGTCGGGGGAGGAGTTCCCCAACCGGTCGCTCTTGCTTCTCCTGTCGAGACGGCGCCCCATCCGCTTGCGACTGCTTCTTCCGGAGTTAGAATTTCTCCCCAAGGGCCAAGTGCAGGCTCGGGGGTGTTCCAACCCGTTCCAGTTGCCTTGTTTTCTCCAGTGATTGGTGCCGCAGGTGCTGACGTACCACTTTCTTCTTCCATTGTGGCAGGTCCAGTTTTCGCATGATTGGAGGTCGAGGCGGTTGGGACAGTGTGCAAGCGTAGGAGACCGTCGGAGGCAGGTCGCTCAAGGTCCATTTCGGTAGGATGGGACCACGTCGGCTGCTTTGTGGCAGCATACGGTCAGAGTCGCCATTGGTTCCTTGGGCCGAGAACTGCAGCACGAAGACTCCGTCGTCATCAGTCGCCTTCCGACGACTAGCGGGCGTTTAGGGCAGCGGGGGGAGGATGCAACGCGACGGGCATGGTGGGAGGGCACGTCGCGACGAGCAGCGGGGGAGGGCGTGACGGGACGAAAAGCTGGGGAGAGCGCGACGTGACGGGCAGGGGGGGAAGGCGCTACGCTACGCGGTAAGTGGGTCGGCGGAGCGGGCGCTAACGAACGAGCGAGACTGGATCGGGTCGACGCTAACGAACGAGCGAGACTGGATCGGGCCGGCGCTAGGCTCGGGCAAGACGGGTACGACTAGTACGAGAGAGTGAAACAGGCTCGGGCGGAACGAACGAGGACGAGAGGTGCGGGATCCCACAGGATCCTAACCTAGTGATACCATGTCAAGAATGAAAGTGTGGTGTTATTGATGAGGGTTGGGGTACATATAGCAAACCCTAACATTTGTACCCCCTAAGATATGTTAGAAATATGAGGCATCAGGATATTATATGCTGTTATGTTTTAGTGTAGTCCCCTTTATAAGACTATAGGCCCTACAATAATTGCACAATTATTGTAGGGCTAGCATTATTGGAGTCTAGAGGACTTGGTGGTAGAATTATTGGTACTCCTTTATTGGAGTTGCCATTATTAGTGGTACAATGATTGGTGTGGGGGGATGGGTGTGGGCACGGTAGCTGGTAGCATAAATTCCCTGCTCTAAAGTTTCATAATCAATCCATTCGGTTGCAAATCTCTCTTGCTATTCTATTATTCAATCAAGGCTTCAGCTATGACGGCACTATGCCTTTCTAGCACATCCATCACCACCCCGGCTAGTGCCGAGACCGAGACTGCCGCTGAGGTCGCCCGATGCCCCTACCATAGACGAACGCATCACTCTCGAAGGCCTATGACGAGATCACCCATGAAGAGTGTTGGAACAACCGTAAGGTGTCTTAACATTCCTAAAGGTGTAGCCTTATCGCACCTGCTCCTAGCGGAGCAACACATACCACTACCACATTACTACACATAGAGCACGGAGGTCAACAGTCGCGAGTAAACTGTCGCGACTGTTGACAGACCTAGACCAAGAGGTTGCGAACTGCTTCGCAAGTCCCAACCGTCTGGGAGGTTTTCGAGTCGACTCAAAACCAGTGACCTGCCAGGTGTGCAGGAGCGAATCGCCTATTATTCTTGCGGACTGAAGCGAGCCAGCCACAATGAGGGGCGAAAGCTGAGCGAACTCAGGCTATTCGGTGGGAATTAAATGGCACGCAGTGGAGCAGCGCCCCTCGACTCGGGGCAGGCAAGGCAGGGCATGGCGCACAGGAGGCGAGACGCCTCGGACGAGCCGCATGTGAGCTGTTTATTTACCCGAAACCCTCGTTCGTGAGGCGGCATAGCGTTCGGCGATCGGCGCACCAGGCAGATAGGCATCGTGCAGTGCCGCCGCGATTCCCGCGACCACAATAGGGAGAACAGTGGTACTCACCCAGCAGATGGCCATCACACCGTGCCGCCGTGTCCTTCCGGTTCTCGAACTAGCGTAGCAGTTTCCACTGAAACGAGCTCACGCCGCTACGACCGCCTATCACACGCTCGCATCAGCGACGCGGCAAAAGAACGCACGAGTATGACTCGCCCTCGCGCTCCCCCCGCCTCCATCTGCGCCGCCCCGAGCCCCCTCCACCCCACCTCGTCTTGCCCGCCATGGCTGGCGGGCATCGCCCTTCGGGAGCGAGGACACGCCGCGGAGGTCCAGGAAGGTGCTTGTATCTATCAGGGTCACAGCGCTGGGAAGTGCTTGTGATGGGCTAACAGTGCAGGACGGCAGTGCTACTGCAGGAGGGGCAGCAATGGAGGGTTAGAGCGTTGGAGGCGGAGAAGGTGTGCAGGCAGCGCCATCGCATGGTTGGACTACCCGCAGGGCGTGGCTGACAGACCCATGTGCAGCACCATGCAGGTGAGGGGTGTGGGTGTGGGTGCCACGACATGGCGTATTGTGCCATGCCATGCCGTGCCATGCTGGAGGAGGGGAGGGGGCAAGGCGCTGCCTTGCTCTTCCCAGCCTCAACTGTAACATGCTCCTCCTCCTCCCCCCCTCTCTCACCTTCGTCCCACCGGCTCATCTCCTGTCTCTTTTTTCACAACCTCTCGATTCTCCTTCCTCTCTTCCTTATGCCTCTTTTCTCTCTCCCCCTTGCCTCTCCTCTCTCCCTTCTCCCCTCGCCCCCTGTCCTTCCCCTTCGTTTCCCCTCTAACTGTCGTCTCCCGTTTGGCCCCCTCCCCCCCTTTTTTTCCAATTTCAGGCTGCCCACAACCTTTTTACGGGCAACGTCCAGGGTAAAAACGTACCGTAAAAATCCATTCTCTCAGGTGATGCCCCCTCCGCGCGGCCCCACCCATGCGTTCTGGCATATTCGTGTTAAGGCACCTTGCCCACCCCCATCCTTCAATGCCCTGCCCCTACCCAAGCCAATATATTTCCTTCTTATGAACGAACCTTCCGTCCCACTGTTACAGCTGCTAGCTTCCCCTTCAAAGAGCTCCTCTCCCCAACCCCTCCTCTTCCCAAGTCACCCCTCCTTCTCCCCCATCCCTCCCTCTCCCTCCACTCCCCCGCTCCCTCCACCACTCCTCAACCCCCACCCGTTTTCTACCCCCATCCCACCGCTCCTCCACATGCATCACCGCTTTGCACCGCACAGACATATTGAGCGCCATTCTGCCAGGCATGACACTGGCAGAGCTCAGTCCACGAGCCCTGCCGCCATCTGTGCTAACGCGGCGGGTGCGGCGGCGCGCGGACGCGGCGGGCCCGGCGGCGCGCGGACGCGTCGGGCCCGGCGGCGCGCGGACGCGGCGGGCCCGGCGGCGCGCGGACGCGGCGGGCCCGGCGGCGCGCGGACGCGGCGGGCCCGGCGGCGCGCGGACGCGGCGGGCCCGGCGGCGCGCGGACGCGGCGGGCCCGGCGGCGCGCGGACGCGGCGGGCCGGGCGGCGCGCGGACGCAGCGGGCCGGACGGCGCGCGGACGCGGCGGGCCGGGCGGCGCGCGGACGCGGCGGGCCATGCGGCGCGCGGACGCGGCGGGCCGGGCGGCGCGCGGACGCGGCGGGCCGTGCGGCGCGCGGACGCGGCGGGCCGTGCGGCGCGCGGACGAGGCGGGCCGTGCGGCGCGCGAACGCAGGTGGGATCACATTGCAGCATACTCTTACGAGGACTGCAGACCTCTGGTAGCATATTTACTTTGAAGGTCTCCTTCAGTGGATCACATTGCAGCATACTCTTATATTGCTGACGCTCACGTTTATCCACGCACGCACACTCCCTCCCCCTCTGCTGTTGCCCCTCATCCGCACACAGCATGCATACCATGCTGTCACCCCCATGCCCACGCCATGACCCTACAACGCCCATACCATGCCCATGCCATGCTCATACGCCATGCCCACGTTACCTACCGAGCCATCTCGCAGGTCGCTGAAGCTGTGGATGGTGCTGCGCACGTACGGGGTGGAGGGCATCCGAGCTTACATCAGGCGCCACGTGGCGCTTGCTGAGTGGTTCGAGGAGGCCGTGCGGCAAGATGAGCGGTTCCAAGTCAGCTGCAAAACCATTTGTTAGGCGCCTTAAGATGCCGCAGGTGGTGGTGATAGCCGAGATTTATGGTGTGCGTGCAGCGAGTCAGGAGCATTGGGTGGTGATCACATGAGGGGTACACTGTGCACGTGGGTTGAGGGAAGAGGGGTGCAGGTGGGTTGAGGGAAGAGGGGTGCACGTGGGTTGAGGGAAGAGGGGTACACGTTGGTTGAGGGAAGAGGGGTGCAGGTGGGTTGAGAGTCGTGTATTGTGAGGGAGGAAGAAAAGAAGATTTTGTCGCTTACTCAGGAGGTTGTCGTGTGGTGGCAGGGAGGAGTGCAAGGGCATGAGTGGGGAGTGGTCCATCCATTCTCCCTCCATACATAGTCAGGGCAGCTGCTTGCATTGTTTGCACCATCACCCCGTCAACCTGTGCCCCTTCACGTACTTACAAGGCCGAGACGCACAGGCGATTCTTCCTCCGCCTGTCCACGCCCCTATCACCCACAACTCCTTACGTTCCCCCTCACTCTCTTCCCCCCCTCCTCTATTCCCTCCCTCCCATTCTCTCACCCTCGCATGTATGCAGATAGTGGCGATGGGCGATGAGGAGGCGAGGAGGAGGGGCGTGCAGAAGAGTGTCGTGGAGAGAGGAGGCCCGCGCGAGTTCGTGGACGATGGACCGTGCACCGCTGTCGTGCTGACACCGGGGATGCCCTGCTCTCGGGTGGAGAAGCGGGAAAGTGACACTGATCACTGACTGAATCGTCTGCGGGCCGTGGAGTGGGCACTGACCCTCGCATCCCTCTCCACACCTCGCCGATCGAGCCACCTGTCCCACAAACCCCACGTTCGACCTGGCTGGCTCCTCTCATGCTCACACGTCTCACGTCCGCTCCCTTCTCCCATCATCTCCCTCCCCTCCTGTGCGCTCTCCACTACTTCCATGGGGTGCTGCAGGCAAGGCACTCCAGGTGTTGAGGCAGCACAGGGAGGTGTGGGTGGATGGCAATGTCGCCACCGCTTCCACTGTTGGTAGAACCGGTATAGGCAGCAACAACAGCGGTGGTGGTCTCCCTGGTGGCAGCAGTGCCGGTGTCACGAGAGCGGGTTCATGGGACGGCCAGGGGTCACAGAGGGACTGAGGAAGTAATGGAGCATGGGAGCGATGGGTGTGAGGGAGTGGGACGCAGCACAGCCCAGGGAGGGCGGCAGGCAAAGTCAGAGAGAGCCATTGCCGCATGGCCCTCCCATCCATCCCATTCACCATTTGGCTTTGCCTCCTCAGTGGCAACACGGGGAGAACAGCAGTGACACAGAATCTGTGTCACAGATAATGAGTGGTGATGATGCTGATGGGGGTGAGTGGGGGAGGTCGGCCGTGTGGTCGGGCGGCATGGCTAACAGGTCTGCCAACACTGGTGTCGGCACAAATAGCAGCTCTGCATTCATCTCCACACACCATCAGCAGCAGCATTATCTGATGCAGAACCATCAGCATCAGCATCCTGGTCTCGAGGCAGTGCGCCTGCTGGGCTCTCGGAGGTCGCCCAGGCTACGCGCTCTGACAACTCAACGCTAGCAGCTGTGCTGTGCAGGTGTGGTAGCTTATTGTGCTGGTCGTTTTTCGAAAATTCTCTTATCATGTGGCTCTTCGTCTACCGGGATTTATGAAAACAACCATGTGTGCGCCTGTGCTGTGCTTTGTGCCGTGGATTGTACTGTGGCCTGTGAATGCAGCCTTGTGCAACCTTTTCTACCAGACTTTGTTGTATGAATTAAGCCCTCCACTTGTGCTACCCATCCATTCCCCCGTGAACCGGTATCGTCGAAGCACGTGGAGCAGGTGGTGGAGGTGATGGGGCTGGCTGGCACCGCTCATCACACTCACCACAGACTTCGCAGCAGCAGACGCCGTGCATGCTCTGCGCTCCAAGCTCATGGCCAACGCGTGGCTGCGAGGTTGTCAATTACCGCCACCTGCCTGTATAAGCCGTGGGTGGGCTTCAGCGAGGGGTGAGGCATGGTCGAGAGATGTGAGGCAGGTTCAAGAGGTATCACCTGCTCAAATCCGACCAATCCATTGTCCCTGCATATCATGTCCTGGGCTTGCTCTCACAACGTGGATCACTCGCCTCTCTCCCCTCACATCCTCAACACCTCCCCCCTATGTGTGCCTATCCTCTCTTTCCCCCACTGCGCTCTCCCCTCACCCCCTCCCCCCTCCTCTTTGTATCACCCCCAGGCCAACTGGTGCCTCAGGTGGTGCGGGTCCTCTGTGCCATTCTCAACCTCCCCTCCCTCGCCTCTCCTTCTCCCCCCTCCTCCATCTCCTTTCCACCTCCCTGCTTCGCTCTTCCCCTTCTCCTTCTCTTTCTTGCGCCTCGGCCCTTCGCGCCGCTGCTGCTGTCCCAGCCATACCACCAGACAAAATTTCCACCATTCATGATGAAGCAGCTAGAGAGGCCGTAACAGCAGCGACAACAGTCGCAGCAGCAGTGGCGGGAGTAGCAGCGGCAGCGGTGGCAGTCAGTTGGGTGGATGGGGCTGGTGAGGATGAGGAGGCGACGAGAGGGGCTGGCGGAGGTTCACTGGATGATGAGATTGATGTGCTGGAGGTGAGCGAGGAGGGCTATGGGGTGGGATTAAGACAGACAACTTTCTTGTATATGAAAGGCCGTAGGTTGTTACGGTTCAAAGGTGTGTGTTGGCACAACTCAAAGCAGATGTGGGGTGCTGAAATAGAGGAAAACGGGAGAATGTGTTTCCTTTGTTTTTCTCCAATGGAAAAAGAGACTGCTCACGTTTACAACGCATCGTTGATCAAGATGGACGGCACGATCGGGGTTCTTCTCGATCGAGGATGAGTCATAAACGCGAGCAGCCTCTTCTTCCGTTGGAAAATAACCAAAGAAAACATTCTTCATTTTTCCTCTATTTCGGCAACCCACATCCGCTTTGAGCTGTGCCAACGCATACCTTTAAAACGCGACAACTTACGACCGTTCATATGCGCTGGAGGTGAGGCCCATGGGATGGGATTGATGCGGTGTAGGTGAGGGCCATGGGGTGATGGTGCTGCTGGCTGCAGTGGGCCAGAGGCAGTGCACTGTGCCCCGTTGCCACAATGCGTGTGCACCATACCAGATGATTACACTACTCATCTGTGGTTCCCTTGCTCCCACCACACCACATCCCTTTACTTTGTGACACTTTCTAATTAGTTTTTTTGTCTTTCCATCCTACCTGCATGTTCCATCCTACATGTTTGTTCCGTCCTACCCGTCTGTTGTTTTCCTTCCTACCCGCCTGTTCTATCAACAGGCACCCCTCAAAAGGCAAGCATGGCAGCAGTGCTACCACGTGCCCCACATATCCTCTTCCCTTTTGCAGCTGCTTGGGGACTACCCACTCTTCTGGCAGTACACCGGCCCACTCGCCGCATCTGCATTCTCCCCCTTCATGCCGCAGGTCACTTAAAGGTTTCTGTAGGCGCCATAGGTGTCGCCATTGGTGTAGAGCATGTTGTAGGAAGTGGTGAATGCAGTGCAAAGGGTGGTGGGGCAGGTGTGGGATGGCGGGTAGAAGGGGGTGCTAAAGAGGGTTTGAGGGCAGGTGGAGTGGAGCAGAGGGGTGGATGTGTGGTGGAGAATGCAGCAGCAACTGGGTGGAGGACTGGTTAGCTTGCCGAGGAAAGAGAGCTGATTGTATAGGCACACATTGCAAGCCAGTTTGTCTGAATTTTTTCTTAAAGCCCAAGTATAGCATGGTTATTTTCAAGTTCAAGATTCTTGAACTTGAATTCGTAAAAAACAGGGTTACCATAATTGTCTGTACAAAACTCTCGCGACTCTGGGACAACGCCTAAGGGTGTGTCAGATCTTCTGAAACCTGTTTTGGCCGGTTATTTGTCGACCGGTCGTCAATATTTTTTCACGAATGTCGACGCATTGGTCGAATTTTTCTCGACAGATTTCGACAGTGTTTGCAAATCTGACACATTTGGTGGCCGATTTGCCGGCCGAGTATGAAATGTGTCAGCGACGGTGTCGCAGATTTCGCAGCTTTACAGTGGCGATTACAACCAGTGGCTGGCGGGGAAATTTTATGTTGAAACGGCCATCAAAATTTCATTTACGGTAGTGGCCGGATTTTGAGAGCTGCTCGAATAAATTTGCGACTGTCGCAACCATGTTACTTTCGCCAAAACCGGCCAGTCGGATTAGCGTGATTTCGGATCTGACACACCCTAACGACACTATCTCCTCATTGGCTTTTGAGCACAGTCGCAAAACAGAACCGAACGTCGCTCAGGTTGGCCCACTGTTTGGCTCTCACATATCTTGAACACCTAGTCGTACTCATGATCGGCCTCCTTCCTCTCCTAAGTAGACAGCCAGTGCGCCTTCACGTAGTTCTAGGGACCGCGATTTTTACAGCAACTCCCAAGGCACACATGCTGTCTCGCCAATAGCTGGGCAGTACAAGCCTAGTGTCACCCGATATTTACAAACGTTGTCGCGTTACTCACACGGAACGTGTGGTGCAAACGACTGCTTCACCATGCTTAGGCCCTCGTTTAGCGCTTGTCGTCACCCGCGCTCCCCCTCGCCACCCGCGCCCGCCCTCGTCACTCGCGTTAGCCCTCGTCATTCGCGTTGGCCCTCGTCACTCGCTTGCCGGGATTCCGTGCTTCCCCTCGTCATGCGTTTCCCTTCGTCGCGCGCGTTTTCGCTCGTCGCGCACGCGCCTTCTCGTCACGCGCGCTTCCGCGCGATGCGCGCTCTCCTCCCCTTGTCACGCGCGTTCCCCCTCGTGACGCGCACTCCTTCCCTCGTCACCAGCTCAATTATTCAGTCGCAATCTATTGTCCTTTGCCTCACCTGCTTCCCCCCTCCCCTCCTCCCTGCTTCCCCCCTCCCGCCGCCCTGCTTCCCCCCTCCCTCCGCCCTGCTTCCCCCCTCCCTCCGCCCTGCTTCGCCCCTACCTCCGCCCTGCCTTCCCCCTCTCTCCGCCCTGCTTCCCCCCTCCATCCCCCCTGCTTCCCCCCTCCCTAGGCCCTGCTGCCCCCCTCCCTCCGCCCTCCTTCCCCCTCCCTCCGCCCTCCTTCCCCCCTCCTTCTGTCATGCTCCCCTCATCCCTCCGCCTTGCTTCCCCCCTCCCTCCGCCCTTCTTCCCCCCTCCCTCCACCCTGCTTCACCCCTCCCTCCGCCCTGCTTCCCCCTCCCTATACCCTGCTTCCCCCCTCCCTATGCCCTGCTTCACCCCTCCCTCCGCCCTGCTTCCCCTCTCCCTCCGCCCTGCTTCCCCCCTCCCTGCGCCTTGCTTCCCCCCTCCCTGCTTCCCCCCTCCCTCCCCCTGCTTCCCTCCGCCCTCCGCCCTGCTTCCCCCCCCCCTGCGCCCTGCTTCCCCCCTCCCTCCGCCCTGCTTCCCCCCTCCCTCCGCCCAGTTTCCCCCCACCCTCATAGAGGTGAGCGTCACGCACCAGGTGCCTTCTCGTCACGCGCGCTTTCTGCTCGTCGCGCGATCTCCTCCCCTCGTCACGCGCGCTTCCCCTCCGCCACTCCAATTGGGAAGCGTTTGTCCTTATCGCCAACCCCTACCCACGTCGCCATCGACACCATCGTGTGTAGCAACTCCCCCATACGCCCTCGCTCCTTCCAGCCGCAGCAACTCCTTCCATACTGATGTGAGGGGCAGAGCGGGAGAGACAGAGGGGGATGGACAGGGGGGATGGTGTCACAGTGAAAGAATGATTGATGGGCGGGAACAGGAAGGGAACGGGCGGGGGAGATGAGAAGGACAGAAGGGGAAGGACAAGGGGGAGAGGGGGAAGGACAGAGGGGGAGAGACAGAACAGGCGGCGAGGAATAGGGGGGAGGACAGAGGGGGAGAGACAGAGGGGGAAGGATAAATGGGGAGAGACAGAGGGTGAAGGGCCGAGGTTGAGAGACAGACGGGGAAGGATGGAGGGGGAGGAACAGAGGGGGAAGGGCAGAGAGTGAGAGACAGAGGGTGAGAGCGGGTACTTCCCTCACTCCCTCTCCCCATCGACCTTGCTTCCCCCTAATTGTTTACACCCCTCGTTATTTTGACCAACCTCCCTTTCTCCCACCAGCTCTGTTCACCCCCCAATCTATTCTCCTTTGCCTCACCTGCTTTCCCCCTCCCCTCCCCCCTGCTTCCCCCCTCCCTCCGCCCTGCTTCGTCCCTCCTTCGGCCATGCTTCCCTGATCCCTCTGCCCCATCCCCTTCCCTTCTTCCCCTCATCCCCTTCCCTGCTTCCCCCCATCCCCTTCCCTGCTTCCCCCCATCCCCTTCCCTGCTTCCCCTCATCCCCTTCCCTGCTTCCCCCCATCCCCTTCCCTGCTTCCCCCCATCCCCTTCCCTGCTTCCCCCCATCCCCTTCCCTGCTTCCCCCCATCCCCTTCCCTGCTTCCCCCCATCCCCTTCCCTGCTTCCCCCATCCCCTTCCCTGCTTCCCCCCATCCCCTTCCCTGCTTCCCCCCATCCCCTTCCCTGCTTCCCCCCATCCCCTTCCCTGCTTCCCCCCATCCCCTTCCCTGCTTCCCCCCATCCCCTTCCCTGCTTCCCCCCATCCCCTTCCCTGCTTCCCCCCATCCCCTCTCCATGCGTCCTTCCACTCCCTGCCCAGGTGTCCTACCTCTCTCTCTCCTTCATTCCGCACTCTCACTCTCCTTCCTCCCACACTCTCTCTCACTCTCAGTCCTCTCGCACTCTCTCACTCGTCCTCTCGCACTCTCACTCACCTTCCCACCACCCTCAGGCCTCCTTCCCCCCACCCTCTGCCCTGTTCCCTACCTGCCCTCTCAATCCCTGCGTTTCCCTCCCTGCCCTGCCCTTCCCTTCCGCATCCCTTCTCAACCCTTTCCTTCCTTTTCATGCCCTCCCCTTCCCCCTCACTCCTCACCTTCCGCCCTCTAGTTCCCATGCATGTGCACCCATCACTGTCACCCCATACATGCTTTCATCATGTGCCTCTGCTTGTTGTACCCCCTTGCGGTTGTTCCCTTGCACCTCACACCACCTCCCCCATGTTTCTTCACACAATTCTTTCTGCCTACACCGCTCCCCTAATTTTCAGTGGTGAAGCAGAGGAGCAAGCCGAGGCGTAGCTAGTCGATGCTTTACACCGTACCACTGCCTGTTTTAAGTTTGTTGTATGCAAGCATGATATGAGAACACTGTTGGATACGGTATATCCATCCCAAAGGCACAATATGTACTTTTGTTTCTGCAGTGCAATATTTTCTTCCAAGATGCATGGACACGAAGAGTGTCAGAAGGGTACATAGAGGCATCACCCTACTACTTTTGATTGTACCTTTCTCAAGGCATTGAAAAACACATGAGGGGAACTGGTTTCTCTACGAGCATGGCATGGGATGATGGGCTGAGGCGAGTTGCAATACCAGAAAAAGACTTCAGTGTAGTCAAGTCACTGCAATAGTCAGGGAGAGGGAGGTAATATGGGGAGGGGGGACAAGAAAATAGTCAAACAGGGGATAGGGAAGAGGAGGGGGAAGAGGGAAGCAGGGGGGAAGGGAAAGGGGAAGCATGTCAGCTGAGGTGTGGCAGGAGGAGCACGTAAGGGGTAGGAGGTGAGGGGAAAGGGGAGAGGGAAGATATGGAAATCAGGTAAGGTAAGCAGGTGGGGGGAGCAGGGAAAAGTGGTCAGGAAGAGATGAGAAACAGAGCAAAGAGGGGGAGAGGATGAACGGGGGAAAGGCGCGGCCGTCAGAGAGAAAGGAATGAGGAGGGGGAGAGGGGGAGGGGTGAGACACACATGAGAGGTTGAGACATGCAGCAGTGGACAACACTCCCCCCTCGAATTCCTTTTTCCTACCCTCCCTCCCTGCCTCATGCGGGAGGAAGAAAACGGGTGGGGGGAAGGGAGGAAGATGAGGAAACTGAAACGAGAATGAATGAACTATGAATAAGTTGGGTACAAGTACTAACCCTAATTGGGTTGTACCCCTTATGGGCTACCCCACTATAGCCTACACAATATGCATAAGCTATAATGTTCTGACACACCCCCATAGGCAAAGTGGGGGAGAACAAGGGGTCACAAGACCAGTCAAGCAAAGCAAAGCAAAGCAAGCTCAGGGTGGATCACAAAGTCACCACGCATTCCGAGCACAAGTTCAAGGGCCACAAGGCCAGTTCACATGCAGGAGTACAAATATCTAAAAAGGCTAGACAACCAAGAGCAGGTGTACATATATATGTAACAGTACAAGCAAGGTCAAGAGGTGAGCAAGTGAGGCAAGGCGGGCACAAGACCCAGCTGAGTACAGAAGCGCTGATGGTCACAAGGCGCAAGCGCCTTGGTGAAGATATCTGCAGTGTTGGCCTCAGAGGCCACGTACGCAAGACGCAGCTGACCACGCTGCTGCAGCTCACGAGCAAGAAAGTAGCGGAGAGCAATGTGCTTCGTTCTGTGCTCCAGTCGCTGCTCCCGACACAAGGCCAGCATGGCCTTGTTGTCTACGTACAGCACCGGAGGAGAACGAGGCGGCTCTCCGAGGTCAGTCAGCAGGTAGGTGAGCCAACGAAGCTCCTTTGCAGCCATGGCTCCTGCGTAGATCTCACCCTAACAACTGGAGCCGAGAACAGAAGACGAGCGAGTAGCCCGCCACGAAACAGAGCCGGAACCAAGGCTGAAGGTGTAACCCTGTGACGACCCCTGCGTAGCCTGGTCGTCAGCCCAAGAAGCGTCTGCGTGCCCAGTGAGGACCACTAGACTCTTCCCTCCAAGCACAAGCCCCATGCCCGACGTACTGCACAAGTAGCGCAACACCCTCTTCGCTGCAGCCATGTGCTCTGGTCGGTGTCTCCCAGGAGCAACATAGCGTGCGAGAATGCTAAGAGGGTATGCGAGGTCAGGTCGTGTGCAGGTCATCAGGTACATGAGGCAGCCAACAAGCTCTGGGTACGGGCCACTCGGCTCTACGGACTCATCCGAAGGCAGAGCTGAGAGCGAGTGGCGAGTAGGTAGAGGAGTGGCCTAAGGCGAGGAGTACGTGAAGCCGAAGCACTGAAGGACCTGCTGCACCATGTGTGACTGAGTCATCGTAATGGTGCGGCGTGCTCTGTCCCGAGTGATCTGCAAGCCAAGATAGCTGCGCAGTTCACCCAGGTCAGTGCACGTGTGTCTCTTCTGCAGCTCGGACTTCACGTAGGCGAGTCCAGCACTCTCAGTTGTGGCAAAGACCAAGTCGTCGACGTACACAAGGATGTAGAGCGGCGGCAAAGAAGTGTCGGTGCGCAGAAACAGCGACAGGTCGGCAGTAGAGGGAGCAAACCCAAGAGCCGCAAATGTAGTCCTCAGTGTGTCGTGCCACTCACGCGGTGCCTGGCGGAGACCGTAGACTGGCCGCCGAAGGCTCCACTGGGTGCCAGGAGGAAAAGTCCCAGTGAAGCCAAGTGGGCGGCGCGGCCAGATCTCCTCGTGTAGGCTAACCTGCAGGAAAGCAGTGTTGAAGTCAAGAGAGTGTAGCTCGTAGTCACGGTGAGCAGCTACGTGCAGCAGTACCCGAAGAGTGGTCATCTTTAGGGTGGGAGAGAAGGTCTGAAAGTAGTCAACTCCCTGCCGTTGACTGAAGCCACGAGCCACGTAATGCGCCTTGAAGACAGGCGGAGAACCCGGCGGCCGCTTCACCCTGAAAATCCACATGCCACTGACGATGTTCGCCCCACGAGGGGGAACATCGTCAACGTAGGTGCCTGTGGACTTCCAGGAAGCCATCTCTGCGTCCATAGCTGCCTGCCACTGAGAGGAGTAGGGACCCTCTATCGCCTCCGCGTAAGAGCGCGGAGTCGGGATGTCAAGTGCATCCGGGTCTCCCTCAGGGGTAAGTAGTACGGACACGAGATGAGGTGAAGCAACGGCCAAGCACTGGAACTCCTCCTGCCTGTCCTCAAGGACGTCCGTGCCAAGGGCACACTCAGCCCCGGCGGACGCAGGACAGACAGACTCAGAATCAGCAACAAGACTGGCGGCGTAGTCTATGCGACAGCGAGCAACAAAGTCGACGAGCTCAGCAACTAGGGCAGACGCCGCAGTGGACTCAAAGGAAGGGTCAGTGACAACAGTAGCAAGGAGACGCGTGACAGTAGGACTGGCAGCACGAAGAGAGTCCGACTCCGGGTCGGCAAGAGCAGGAAGAGAGGACTCAGGAGGAGAAGGCAAAGGGGCACGCAGAGGAGCAGTGGACGGACGCAGAGACATCCGGTGCGTGCCAGGGACAAGAGGAGAACGTTGACGCGAACCGCGACCACTAGTGCGAGCAGCACGGACAGGCGACGCAGGGCGAGACGCACGCTCACGACGCTCAGCAAGACCTCCAGTAGGACCAGTGTAGGGAGACGGAGCAGGCAGTGGGGAGGCCGGCTGTAATTGTAACTGTGACGGGACAAGCTGTGGACACTTTAAGGGAGGAGGAGGACCAGTAGAAGACGGGAGACCAAGATCCTGCTGAAGGAGCGGAACGAAGTACGGCCGAGGCGGCGCGGCGATTCCAGACACAGCAGGGACAGCACCAGCACCCTTAGCGGCAGCACCAACACCAGCAGCACCTCCAGCTCCAGTACCTCCAGCAGCACCAGTAGTACCCCCAGCAGGACCGCCTCCAGGACCGACAGCAGTAGCCTCCGCGCCAATACCCGCAGCAGCTCCAGCTCCAGAAGTACCTGCAGGCCCAGCACCTCCAGTGCTCCCTGTCGAAGCACCTCCGGGACCCGCGGCACCAGCACCCTCAGCAGCAGTAGAACCTCCAGCTCCAGCAGCACGCCTCGAGCGCCGGGCAAACCACTCACGCAGCTCCTGTGGAGAGAGTGGCTCCCAGCGAGACGAAGCACCAGCAGGCTCAGCTCCCTCACGCTCCGCACCCCCAGGCTCAGCACCTCCAGGCGTAGCTCCCCCAGGCCCAGCACCCCCAGGCTCAGCACCCCCAGGCGTAGCACCCCCAGGCTCAGCACCCCTAGACTCAGCTCCCCCAGGCTCAGCACCCCCAGTCTCAGCACCCCTAGGCTCCGCACCCCCAGGCTCAGCACCCCCAGTCTCAGCACCCCTAGGCTCAGCACTCCCAGTCTTAGCACCCTCAGCAGCACCAGAGTAACCAGTGACCTCGACAGGCTCAACAACGTCTACCTGGGACACACATGAAGGGGCAGGACCCTGAGGGGGGAGGGGGTCTACCTAGGGGGGACCTGGCACAAGGAAGAGCGGTGGCGGGGGGAGGGACGGAGTGCGGTAGGGGAAGAGACGGTAGTAGGGGACCGACTCGTTGAACGTGACGTCCTGGGAGGACAGAACACGGCGAGAGGTGGGGTGGTAGAACTGCCACCCTGGCGCGTCAGGGGGGAAACCCAGGAAGACGCAAGGAGCAGCACGAGGGGACAGTTTGTCCACAGACAAGTCGCGGACAAACGCCCGAGATCCCCAGACACAGAACGCAGACGCATCGCCAACCTTCCCCGTCCACAGCAAAGCTGGGGAGGTCTCCGGCATGGAGACCCTGGGCTGAAGGTTGATCTGATGCGCCGCGTACCTGACCGCAAACGGCCACAGAAAATGGGGGGCAGCCGCATGCATCATGGACGTACGGGCGACGTCCATGACCATGCCAATGCGGCGCTTAGCAATCCCATTTTGCTGTGGAGAGTCCGGAAGCGTGAAGGTCTGGCGGATGCCTCGTGCACGACAGTAGGCTCGTAGAAGGCCAGAGGAGAACTCTCCGCCTTTGTCAGAGTGCAGATGCAGAACAGGAAAGTCCGAGCCGAAGCTCCGCCTGAGCTGGAGACGAGCTGCGCGGATCCAGTCGATCAACACCTCAGTGACATCACCCTTGTTGCGCAAGGGGAAGACTGTGGTGTAACGCGAGTAGTCGTCAACCACCAGCAGGAAGTAGCGCTCGTGA